TTCCATTGGTATATGAACCTTTTCACTACCCATTTATCAGTTGACGGTGATCTAGTTTGATTCGGCCTTCTACCTGTTGCAAATAGGGCAGCACAAGCGTATGTGTGCAAGTATTCATGCGCTAGGCTGTAGAGTCTTTTCATTACAAACCCGGAAGCAGCCTAGCTGGCCTGTGGTAGTTTTAGTTTTAGTGTTTTGATATTCCTTCCCAGTGACTTGGCTAACCTAGTTTACATTCCCTCCAGCAACAGGAATAATAATTTCCTTCCCGGCAATATTATCAGTATTTTCTATTTTTTTTCTTGATGCTAATCATTCCAAAAGGTGTGAAATTGAATTTCAAAATGCTTCCATTTTTTATTAGTTCTCTGAAAATTTTGAACATCTCTCTCTCTCTCTCTCTCTCTCTCTCTCTTTTTATTTTCACCCTTCTCCACCAACTCCTCCCAGATCCACCCCTCTTCCCTACCAACCCAATTTTGTGTCTTTTTAACCCATCAAGTCCAATCAGTGTTGCCCAATCATTCTTGAATGTGTGATCTCCCATCAAAGCATGGTTGGGTTAGCAAAGGCTCCACTCTTAGAGAAAATTGCCTTTCCCTCTCCCAGTCACTATTAATTACTAGAAGCTCACCAGCTGGGCCTGGCACTTCATTCCTAACTCACCTACACATTCTGGGATCTGGTCTGCCTTGAGTTTGCACAGGTTTTGCGCACTCTGCCACAACCACTGTAAGTGTGTATGTACAGCTACCTGTCCAGAAGGCTCTGTTTCCTTGTAATTGACCATAAACTATTATACTCTTTCTGCTCCCTCTTCTGCAATAATCTGCAATGCCTTGCTTGGGAGGGAGGGATACGGAATAGATGTCCATTTAAGGATGAGCATTCAGCAATCTCTTTTTCTCTGCACTGGGGTGAGTTGTGGGTATCTATGTTAATTACCATCTACTGGAAATAGGAGCTTCTTGTATGAGTATTGAGAGATGCATTGATCTACAGTCATAACAATAAGTCATTAAGGATCAGTTCAATACTATATCTATTTAGCAAAATAACAGTAGCAGGGTTTCTCCTAGGACCATTAACTTGTCTAGCCATAAATTCTGGAAATGATGATGGTGCCAGGTATAGGTTTCATCTGGTAGAATGGGACTATATAATTCATTCAAAAAGTTTTTAGTCATGCTCATGATGTTGACGCCACTAATGTACCAGTGGGGATGTATTTCCAGGCTAGTCATGGGCCGGTAAGAACCATAATGCTTTTCTCCTCCAGTAGTATATATAGTACAATGAAAACTAGTAAGTAGGAAAAAAAAAAAACTTCTAGGTCAATAACAGCTTTATTTCTTGTGTTCTATGACTCAAGTATGAGATGCCTGGAAGGTAATTAAGAGTATTAGCAATAGACTTTAATGTCTTGGGAGTTTATGAGACCCCACTGCATAACAATTATGAAAGAGGTACCCTATTCCTGGCACTAGGCTGCTTTTTATTTGTTTTCCTGTGGTGTCCCTCTCTGTCTGTGTGTGTAGACTTCCATATGACCTTTTCTCCAAGGTCTTTAGTAATTTAGATTTGTATTTTCTTTATGCCTAAGGAAATGGAAAACTCTTAAATGTTTATTGTCCACTTACATCACTTCTTTTTAAGAATGTTCTGTTTGGTTCTACAGCTGTCCATGTTTTATTAAAATAGTTGGGTTGTTTAACTTTTGAGGTTTTGTACGTTTTAGGTATTAATCCTCTGACTGACGTATGGCTAGCAAATATTTTCTCCTGTTCTGTAGGCGGCATCTTCACTTTTGTCCCCCTTTGATACAAAAATAAGTCAGTTTCATGAAGTACCACTTGTTAATTATTCTTATTTCTTGAGAAATCAGAGTCCTATTCAGAATGTTAACGTTTTGTTCCTGCTTTTCTTTAAAGTTTCACTTTCTGGCTTTACATTAAGGCATTGATCCATCTTTAGTTGATTTGTTTTAAAAGATTTATTTCCATATGCATGTGTTTGTATGGGTCTATGTGAGTGTATATGAGGTGTGTGGATACACACAGAGGCCAGAGAGGGCATCCTCTATCACTCTTCCTATTCCTTTGAGTGAGAGTCACTTCCTGAATCTGGAGATGGTGTTTTCTTGGCAAAGAGGGAAACCAGCCATCCCCACTAATCCTCCTGTCTCTGTTTCTCTTAGAGATGGGATGAACCATTGATAAAGCCAGCTTGCTATTTGGAGATGAGGTTTGAATTCTGATCTTCATGATTTTGCAGCAAGAACTCTTTTTTTTTTAATTTTATTTATTTTCAGAGTGGTTGTTTAAGTTTACATTCCCACCAGCAGTGGAGGAGGGTTCCCCTTTCTCCACAACCTCTCCAGCATGTGTTGTCACTTGCGTTTTTCATCTTGGCCATTCTGATGGGTGCAAGGTGACATCTCAGGGTCGTTTTGATTTGCATTTTCCTAATGACTAATGAAGTTGAGCATTTTTTTAAGTGTTTCTCTGCCATTCTATATTCCTCTACAGAGAGTTCTCTGTTTAGCTCTGTTCCCCATTTTTTAATTGGATTACTTGGTTTGCTGCCTTTCAGCTTCTTTAGTTCTTTATATATACTGGATATCAGCCCTCTGTCAGATAAAGGGTTGGTGAAGATTCTTTTCCAATCTGTAGGCAGTCGTTTTGTTTTGATGACGGTGTCCTTTGCTTTACAGAAGCTTTTTAGTTTCATGAGGTCCCATTTATTGATTGTTGCTCTTAGAGCCTATGCTGTTGGTCTGCCGTTCAGGAAGTTGTCTCCTGTACCAATGAGTTCAAGGGTCTTCCCCACTTTTTCTTCTAACCGATTTAATGTGTCTGGTTTTATGTTGAGGTCTTTGATCCGCTTAGACTTTAGTTTTGTGCAGGGTGATAAGTATGGATCTATTTGTATTTTTCTACATGTAGACATCCAGTTAGACCAGCACCATTTGTTGAAGATGCTATCTTTTTTTCCATGTATGGTTTTGGCATCTTTTTCAAAGATCAGGTGTCCATAAGTTTGTGGGTTTATTTCTGGGTCTTCTGTTCGGTTCCATTGATCCACCATTCTGTTTCTATGCCAGTACCATGGAGTTTTTATTACTGTTGCTCTATAGTACAGCTTAAGATCAGGGATGGAGATACCTCCAGAAGATCTTTTATTGTAGAGGATTGTTTTAGCAATTCTGGGTTTCTTGTTATTCCATATGAAGTTGAGAATATTTCTTTCCAGGTCAGATCCAGCCATATATATCCTAGGCATATATCCAAAAGAGGCTCAAGTACACACACAATAAGGACATTTGCTCAACCATGTTTGTAGCAGCTTTATTTGTAATAGCCAGAAGCTGGAAACATCCCAGATGCCCCTCAACTGAAGAATGATTGCAGAAATTGTGGTATATCTACACAATGGAGTATTACTCAGCAATGAAAAATAAGGAAATCATGAAATTTGCAGGTAAATGGTGGGACCTGGAAAGGATCATCCCGAGTGAGCTGTCCCAGAAACAGAAAGACACACATGATATATAGTCACTTATATAGACATATAACATAGGAGAAACCTATTAAAATCTATACATCTAAAGAAACTAATCAAGAGGACCCTGACTAAAACGCTCAATCCCCATCCCGATAGGCAAAGAGGATGGAAGAAAACAGGAACCAACCTAGAAACCTGCCACAGAGGGCCTCTGAAAGGCTCTGTGCTGCAGACTATCAAAGCAGATGCTGAGACTTATGGCCAACTGTTGGGCAGAGTGCATGGAATCTTATGTAAGAAGTGGGAAATAGTAAGATCTGGAGAGGACAGGAACTCCACAAGGAGAGCAACAGAACCAGAAATTTGAATACAGGGGTCTTCCCAGAGACTCATACTCCAACCAAGTACCAGGCATGGAGATAACCTAGAACCCCTGCACAGATGTAGCCCATGGCAGTTGAGTGTCCAAGTGGGTTCCATAGTAATGGGAAGAGGGACTGCCTCTGATATGAACTGATTGGCCTGCTCTTTGATCACCTCCCCCTGAGGGGGGAGCAGCCTTACCAGGCCACAGAAGATGACAATGCAGCCACTCCTGATGCGATCTGATAGACTAAGATCAGAAGGAAGGAGAAGAGGTCCTCCCCTATCAATGGACTTGGGGAGGGGCATGGTGAAGAAGGAGGAGGGAGGATGGGACAGGTAGGGGAGAAGGGAGGGACTAATGGGGGAATACAAAGTGAATAAAGTGTAATTAATAAAATAAAATAAAATTTAAAAAAATTTTCAAAAAAAATTATTTATTTATTTATTTATTACATGTTATGATTGTAGCCCCCCTTCTCCTCTCCTCCTGGTGCCACACTCCCTCTACCCTTATTCCCCCTCCTCTACTCCTCAGAGAAGGTCCCCCCAACCCACCGTAGCTCATTAAGCTGAATCAAGACTGAGTGAGTCCTCTTCTCCTGTGTCCTGGATAGGCATCTCCACCAGAGGGAAGTGGTCATAAAGCAGGTAACAGAGTCCATCTCACACACAGCCCCTACTCCCCTTACTAGGGAACCCGGGTGGAGCCTGAGCTGCCCATTAACTACTGTGTAAGGAATTTAGGTCCAGTCTAGCAGCAAGAACTCTTAAACTCTTTTCAGCCCTTGCAGGTCATTTATTGATTTATTATAGTATAAAATACACAGATCTATTTTTATTCTTATACTCTTATACGCGTAGATTTTCAGTTTTCCCAACATTATTTATTAAGGAGGCAGGTTTTTGTTTTTGTTGTTTTTTGTTTTTCCCAATGAGTGTTTTTGGCATTCCTCCCTCCCCCAAACATCTGCTGGCTATAGCTGTTTGGGGTTTTTATACAGAACTGCCATTACATTAAATTTATCTACATGTCTGTTTTTGTGCCAATGCCATGCTGTTTCTGCTGCTAAGGATGAGCAAGGTGCCTTGAAAGTGAGTACAGTGTTGAATCACGCTTTAAAATATTAACACCTGCCCCTAGAGACATGGCAGATATAGCTGCTGTGTCACATGGGCGTCAGTAGGTGGCAGAGAGGAGAGATGGCTGTTTATGCTCAGCGTTCTGACCTGTGGACATCTGAATGATTAGTAGCCTACATTATCTGAAAAAAACCAAGCCTGCAACCACCACCAGTTCCACGCCAGGCAGGCCCGGATGGGCTTCCAGGATGGGAAGAGAGCTGGATACCAGAAGAACCCCATCTGCGACAATGGGCCCTGGGTGGGCGTGAGTCTGAGGCTGAGACAACCACCAGACTGGTGCCCTGAGGGCAGAACAGGAAGCTTGCCTGAGATGAACCCCAGTCAGGTGGAGTGCAGGCCCGAGGTGACAGACCCGTGCTCGAGATGACCTCCGCCTGGTGCCGCAACGTATGAGCAGGGCATAGCACTCCTGAGAAAGTAAGTAATAGAGAAATGGAAGAGAAAGACAAACAGAAAGATGTCAAGGGTAGTGAAAACCAGCCTGATGTGAATAGCTGGTGATAGCACCTGGGACCATGGTGGGGTTCTGGTCTGTGCTGCCACCAGGAGCAACATCTGGATCCTTAGCCCTGCAGTACCAGGTGTCTGTTACCACCAAAATCCATCCCTGGTCTGGGATGCTACCGGCGGTCATGTTGATGTCCGAGGGCTGTGCAGAACGGGCCCCACCCTCCCATGAGCATCATGGGAGAACTGGCCCTAGAAGCATGAGAGCAGGCGAGCCGACCCTAACCAGCTAGAGTACTCAGGAGAGTGGGCCCTGCAGAACACTAGAGCTTACCCTGGTGTCGGGGATGTGGGTGAGATGGCTCTGAGGGCATGGGTGAGGAAAAGATGCTCCCCTCCCCTCTTGCCACCGACAGCAGGCAGGAGAGTAGACCCCAAGGTCATCAGAGCAGGAGAGCTGCTCCTGCCCCTCACCTTCTGCAGCACTCAGGAGAGCAGGCCCTGTACCTCATCTGGGCAACCCAGTAGAGCTGATCCTGAGTGTGGGTGAGCCGGCCCCATGGATATAAGCATGGGACCATTAGCCCTGCCACGTGTCTGCCATGCAGCAGTGTCGATGAGGGAGAGATGTCCTCCTCCACCCTCGCTCCTTGCCTCCCACGGCAGACAGGAGAGCTGGCCCCAGGGTCATGAGAGTAGGAGGACTGGCCACACCTGTGAAGGTGGGATCTGCACCCCTTCTTGGCAGCAGGGTAGAGCTGGCTCTTATTGCAGGTGTTGTAGGTGAGCCTGCCCCAAGGGCATGAAGTGTGAGAATTTCAGATTCCTCTCAGGCCTAGAGCCAGGGCTTTGAATTAGTCGATCCGAGATCTACCTTATCTATGAACTGCTGGAGTGCATGAAGGGGTTGGTGCTACAGATCCAGAACCACAGGGCAGCAACAGGATATCCCAGAGGAGCCCCAGTGAGGTTCCAGTATGAACAGAGTAGCAGAAGCCAGAGGCCTCTTATCAGACCAGCAAGTCATTGTAACGAACATTTGCAAGCAAAGAAGTGTGGACCACAGAGAATACTGAAGGTCACACTGTGAGGTCACACAATGAGGTTTTTGTCTCTGTTAAAAGTGAAGTACAAGGACCATGTATGGATATAACCTAGAACCTCTGTTCGGATGTAGCCCATGGTAGCTCAGTAACCAATTGGTTTCCCATAGTAAGGGGAACAGGGACTATTTCTGACAGGAACTCAATGGCAGGCTCTTTGACCTCCCCACCCCCCAAGGGAGGAGCAGACCTGCCAGGCCACAGAGGAGGACTTTGCAGCCAGTCCTGAAGATACCTGATAAAACAGGGTCAGATGAAAGGGGAGGAGGTCCTCCCCAATCAGTGGACTTGGCAAGGGGCACAGTGGAGATGAGGGAGGGAGGATTTGGGAGGGAATGAGGGAGTGGGATACAGCTGGGATACAGAGTTAATAAAATGTAATTAATAAAATAATAAAATAACTGAAAAAAAAGTGGAGTACAAGAGTGGAGTGAGTACAGGAGAGGGAGAGATGAGTGGAACTGTGGTGCATGATATAAAATTCACAAAAAAACTAATAAGTTTAAAAATAATAAATAATTATTATATACAATGTGTTATATTACTAACAGTCATATCTAGTTATATCATTATAAATATAAATTTATTATTATTACTGCATTTGCCTCAAGATTGCTTTTCCTACCCAAGGTCTTTTGTGCTTCCAGAACAATTTTTGTTATTTTAAATTCTGTGAAGAATATTATTGAATTTTGATTAGATTAAATTGACTCTCTAGATTATTTTTAGTAAGATATTTTAGTAGGATAGCCATTTTTAAGACAACACCAAGTCTCCCAAACTATGAGCTTTGGAGTACTTTCCATCTTTTATTATTTACTTTAATTTTTTTTTCTTGTGTCTTCCATTGTAGGGGTTTTTCACTTCTGTTATTGGGTTTATTTCAAGTATTTTCCCCTTATTTCTTCATCAGTATGTTTGTTATTGATACTTAGGAAGGTTACTGAGTTTTAGTGTTGTTTGTATCCTGTCACTTTCCTGAAAGTGTTGGCTAGCTCTGACAGTATTCTCTTGGAAACATTATCATCTCTTATCTGAAGATCACATGAGCAAATGAGGATGCTTTGACTTTTCCCTTTCCTATCTTTATCGCTTTTATTAGTTTCCCTTGTGTTTCTGCTCTAGTTAAGATTGCTAGTACTAGACTAAATAAGACTGGAGAAAGTGAACACCTTGTTCTGTTCCAAATATTAGTGGAAATGTTTTGAGTTTTCCTACACTTACTGTACTATTGGCTATATGTTTGACATATGTATGTTTATTATGTTAATATATGTTCCTTTGGGTCTCTGTTTCTTCAGGACTTTTATCATGAAATAATGTTGCATGTTATCAAAATATTTTAATACCTATTGAGATGATCATGTGACTTCTGTCTTTGGGTAAATTTATGGGATGTATTAAATTTTTTCATTTTCATATGTTGAACCATGTTCCCTGTAAAGCGAACTTTTATTTGCCTGTTTCAATTGTCACTGCCTCTGTCTGCTAACAGGCCTAGTCCTAGAAACTTCTGGCCTCCGTACAATCTAATCTAGGCCTAATCTGAGACTTACTGCTTAATTAGCTCATCCTTTCTTCATCTTTCTGGCTGGCTGATTCAACCTAGCTGCTCTGGTTTAAACTCCTCTTCCAGCTGACTTATGCAATCTGGCTTTTCTCTCGGCCTCTGGATTGCTCTTCTTGGCCTCAAACGAATTCCAGCAATCTGTTCTAATCTGGCTCCTTCTCATTCTCTGGTTCATTCATTCTTCACCTGAATTCTCTCTCTGGAACCTCTCTATTACTGTCCCAGTAAAACTGCTTCCTCTCTCTCTCATTGCTCCTTAGACTAGTAGTTTTGGAGGAGATAAATTGTTATGTTTTTCATGTTACCTGTGCTTTTGCACTAGGACTTGGGCATCAGGAGTTCAAACATTGTCAGTTTTTTAAGGTTACTGTTCTTCAGTTAGAATGTTTGTTGAATTCTGGAGGGACTATGCTGTAGTATGATAGAGCTGTTACTTTCCTATAGTTCAGGCTACCAACTTCTATCCCTAGGTCCTCCCTCCCCCGAGAGAAAATTATTGACTACAATATTAGATGCTGTTCATAGGTCTAGAGGTAGATTGCCTTGATTGCAGGGTTTTGTCTGTTATCTCTCACATTTCTTTCCTGAGTCCTAGAAGTCTGTCTTTCCATCGGGCGGGCTCCTTCCTGTCTTATGTATCGCTGAAACATATTCTAGACTAGTGTGTGTCTCTGCTCTGAGTCTGCCTCTGACTGTATCCAACTCAGGATCTGAATCTTGTTCAGGCTCTGGCTCAGAATATGATGGTGGTGGGTGCTTCCTTGAATTGGCTATTAGCTTTGGCTTCAAATCAAACTCTACTTTTGACTTAGGCTCTAGCACCTAAAAGTTGCTTTGTAAGTGGGTTCCTACATTTTCATTGAGTTCTGGCACTTCTGAGCTGAGCCAACATTTGTATCTGTGTTTGGTGTTCGCAGGGTGGCTGGCCTTTGCTTGGGTATGTCTTATACGAAATGTGATGGCGGAGACAATCAGTGCTGATGCATAGACTGGCTGAAGTGACCCTCACTCTGCTAGGTGTTGCCATTTTCTCCCACCTCAAGGTCATGTCCCAAGGGTATATGAAGCAGTGGTGGCCAGGAGTCACAACAGTCTGTGAGTTCATGGGGGTATTTTGAGGGAATTCTGAGTGGGAAGAGGAGGGGTCAAGAGGTATGAGGTCTCTGATACCACAAAGCTTTTCCGAAGGGACCCTTTTTAGATTTTAATTGGGTCATTTTGTTGTAAGAATTTTCTCTATATTACATTATTACTCTTTTATCAAATCTACAGTAAGCAAATACATCTCAGATTCAGTTTCTTTTTACTATGCTGATACAGTTCTTTGCTGCACCATGCATTTCAAATTAAAAACAAAACAAAACAAAACAAAACTCTATCTTTCTTTCCAAACCCCCAGCACCACGAAGCTACCCACATACATTTTCTTCTACTTGCTTAGCAGTTTTAGGTCTTATGTCTGAATCTCTAATCCATTTTCCTTTAACTTTTCCATGTTGTTTAGAGTAAGAGTCCAACTTACTTTACTTCCATGTGGGCATATCTAGGTTTCTCAGGACTGTTCTTCTAAAAAAAAGCTTGTCCTTTTCATGTTAAGGGGCCATGGCTTTTTTGTTGAACATCAATTGACCGCACCATGGAGTGTTTATTTTGGGGCTCTTTATTTGGTTTCATCGCTGTGTAAGTATCTTTACTACAGAACTCCAAACAAGGTTTGAAAGTATTCTTTTGATTTTTGACTAAAATAAAAGTACAGCCAAATCAAGATCTCTTCTTGGAAGGCTTTTGGGTGATAGTGATATAAATATTCTGAAAATATTTTGTGGGTATTACAGAACCAAGAAAATGAGTGAAGTTAATGAGACTGATCCACTAATGAGGAACAGCAGACAGGGGGCTGAAATATCGGATAGGAGAGCCAGCAAGAAAATTGTATGACTTTGAATTAGAAATTTCAGTATAAATGTATTACTTAATACACATACACACATATTCCA